TGCACCTCAGAAAGCACACGTGCTCACAAAACCCTTCATCAGGTACAGACACCAGGACACTCTCTGAGTTACGTTACACGCATGCACAAGTGGCCTTATCACAAAGCAAAATTAATCCCTCTTTTCGAATCCTTTAGTTACTTCTGCGTTGAACACAAAGCTCACTGCTATTGGCACAGCCCTCCATCTGGACAACTTGTTCCATCTCCCGCCCACCTCTCCAGTCTCTTTTCCTATCACCCCCCACCCCCTGCCAATATGCTCAGGCCACCCTAGGTCTCCTATTAGTTCCTTGAATGTGCCAGGCTCTCCTCTTCCTCAGGACCTTTGCACATTCTGCTTCCTCAGCCTGAAGCACCCCCTACCCTGGCTCCTGGGAAGGCAAACACCTTTCCAACCTCCCTGAGCTAAAGCAGGTGTCCCTTTGTTTTTCTCTCTTATCTCCTTGTTTTACTCATGCTGCTTTTTTGCCTGTTTCCTTGATTTCTGTCCATCCTGAACTCTAGAATATAAATTTCAGGAGGGCAGTTGCATTGATGTCAAGTTCAACGTTGCATACCCAGCACCCCACTCGTCCCTGGCACAGAATAAGCGCTCAGTAAATCGGGAGAGGCACCATTCGGGTTCACACCCTCTATCTCCAGGCCTTTGGCATCTCCAGATGTCCTGGATGGCAGGGACTTGAGCAGTGAAGATGGAATCCAAGGCCAGGCAGCATAAACACCAGGACCCAAGGGCGGCGCAGATGTACAAGGAGAAACATGGAGACGATGGAATCGTCATGAAGGAGCCACGGGTGCAGCTTCCTAACTCGACCTTGACCAGATCAAAGACTCAGCTGCTGCAGAAGTGGCAAGAGCAGATGGGGCAGGCGTCAGTGGGGGACCAGACACTGTCCTCATTTGTGTAGCCGCGGGTGCCCCAGTAGAGCTGGAACCCCGTGACCCCAGGGAGCAGAATTCCAAGCCACGTAAACTGACAACACGCAGACGGAAGAGAGGAGATCAGAATCCTCCAGGAGTGACTTCAAAGGACACCGTCTCCCAGCCTCCAAAACCAGAGACCCCATAGCTAGTAAATGACCCATCAGATCAGACCCAGATCCGTCCGACCTTGAGGCTGCCTTTCCAGGACCCTGTATGTTGTCACGCAGCCCTGAATAGCAGTGTATTTATTGGACCTTGTTTGCTGTGCCAGGCACAGGGGCCGCAGTGACATGGGGACACATGTGGCCCCTGGGCATGCTGATTTCAGGCCCGTGGGCAGCCAGCATCCACAGGCATCCAGTGTGTACCAGGCACATAGCGTGCTCCAGTGCATTCACGCCCAGCAGAGAACACGGGGGAGAAAACATGACCCTCACTCAGGGGTGAGCAATTCAGCAGCCCTGTAAGTTACTGATCTTCTCTGAATCTCCATATTCTTATCTATCAAATGGGCACAGGTGTACCTTCCTCTTGGAGCGGTTGTGAAAAGGCCGAAGCCCCGCGCACGCCCAGCAGAGCGCCAGGCACGGAGCTGGCAGGCGGGTGGCATTAGGAGCCCCAGTTCTCCACCCCCCAACACCCCACGTTTTCAGTGGGCTCTGCGGCTCCTCCCACCGAGAGGTGGGGTCTGTCTTTCCACCTCCAGAGTCTGAGTGCTGCCCTTCGACTCGCTTTGCTTGCAGGCGTGCTTCTGCACTTCTCTTTCTGCTCTTGCCCCGCCCCGCCGGCCCTCACCCCGTGCAGCCGGCTTGAGCGGAGCCGGTGCCCCAGCCGACAGCCTGCTGACCCCAAACACACAAGCAGGCCCAGAAGAGACCAGAACCATCAGCCGAAATCGCCAACTCGAGGCTCGAGAAACACAGAAACTCTTATTATTCTGTGAGCCACTGAGTCTTGGGGAGGGGGAGTTTTTTGGTGTTGCTGTGGCAACAGATACCTGAATTCTATTACTGTTGTTCATCCCTGATCCACCCCCTCCCCCTGCCCCAGCCGGGTCCTCTGACAAAACGGCATTCTGGATCTACACGGATCCCGACCTGACTCTGGCGTCTGCTGCCACCGTCCCAGTGTTGCCCCCCATCCCTCAACGTGCTACAACCCTGCCTGCGAGCATGCGACGTCCAGACTCCGTGGGCCTCTTCCATCATCACTCCACTGATTTCCCAGAGACCCATGAGGCAGGGTAAGAAAGGGTGTGAAGAGAGGAGGGAGGGCACTCCAGGGCCAGGAGAGTCCTTGGAGATGGTACAGCAGAGTCTGCCCGAGATGCAGCAGCACACAGGCAAGGAGGTCACCAGACACCCACTGAAGTGCTTAGAAGCACAGGCCAGGGGCGCAGGTCTGATCTATCCTAGGGGCGGCTTACCAAGGTGGCCAAGGACAGGGATAAAGTTGACCACTGCAGGGCTCACGGCCAGGGATGGTGTGAGGCAGGAGGCTTCACAGTAAGCTGGGATGAAAGCATCTGGGGCAAAGTGGCAGGGATAAAGAGGAAGGCAGGCATGGGGATGGGCTGAGCATGGTGACCCACTGCGGGTGTCACTAACGGCTGGAAGGCTGCCCAGGGTCCTGGTGTGGCAGACGTGGAGTGTGCCCACAGATCACAGATCACAGGTGGCCCCTCTGTCTGTATGCCCACCTTGGCTCACCCTCTCTCCCCTTCCCCCAACATACGGCTTAAACAGAATGTTTCAGAAAAGGAATTATAACCTGTAAGAGTCTGTATTTTTTTTTTTTTGGTGGGTTGGGGAGAGAGTTGTTATCCTCACGCTAATTTAAAAATCAACAGTTAGGATTAGTCGGACATCATCAGGGAAAAACAAACCAAAACCACAGTGAGGTAACACCTCAGATCTGTCAAGATGGCTCTCATCAAACATTTTTAAAATTTTAAAAAGCAAAAGATAACAAGCATTGGCAAGGATGTGGAGAAACTGGAACTTTTGGACAGTGTTACTGAATATGCAAAATGGTGCAGCCACTAGGAAAAACAGTATGGAAGTTCCTCAAAAAATTAGAATGACCCTATGAACCAAAAATCTCACTTCTAGGTATTATCCAAAGAATTGAGATCAGGATCCGGAAGAGATATCTGCTCTCCTACATCCAGGGCTGCACTGTTCACAGTAGCCAATACATGGAAACTATCGAAATGGCCATCAACAGATGAATGGATAAAGAAAAAGGTGGTCTGTACATACAGTGGAATATTATTCAGCCCTTAAAAATAAAGAAATCTTGCAATATGTGACAACATGGATGAATCTCGAGGTCATTATGCTCAGTGAAGTAAGCCAGTCACAGAAAGACAAATACTGCATGGTTTCCACTTCTGTGAGCTCTTTAGAATGGTCCAGTTCATAGAATCAGAGACTGGAATGGTGACGGCCACGGACTGGGTGAGGGGAGGGGAAGATGAGGAATCACTAATCAACCGCTGTGAAGTTTCAGTTAAGCAAGATGAGCAAGCCCTAGAGATCTACCGAACCACACTGCACGTACAGTCAACGAAAATGCGCTGCACGCTTAAAAATTTGTCAGAAGTGTAGATCTCATGCTAAGTGCTATTACAGTAAAATAAATTTTTTAAATGTTTAGGATTAGTGTTTTACGCCTATTATAACTATTCCTCAGAACAACAAGGCAAGGGCGGTATTATCATCCCCGACTTTACAAACTGTAAAGCTGAGTCTCACAGAGGTCAGTGCAGTCACTTTCAAGAATGAACAGTGGTAGACTGGGATTTTCCAACGCCTCCTAGTTTCACCCCGGAACACAACTTCCAGTCTTGTCTCCGAAGGCAGAACCATTACCCTTTGACCCCAATTTTAATTCATGCCCAAGGCACCCCCAGCTCAGAATCCACGTTCCCCAGCTCCGCCACGGAGCACAGCTTTCCGAAAGGCACTCCTTGACCCTCAGCGTGGCCTGTTTTCAAAGCTGTCCAGGCACAGGGCTTGGCCATCCTCCCCCGGCTGCCCATCTCGAGGTTTAATCACCCTCATAGACTGTCTCCTCCGTCCCATAAAAAGAACAAATCAAACTTAAGCACACGCCAGCCATTCAAGAAAGCCACATTTGGAGTTGAGTAAGTAGCTGGAGGCCTGCCAGGGCCAGTATGAAGGATCTAAAAGAAACTATGAGCTGAGGGTCATTAAAGTAAAGCTATTTAATACCGGAAAAGGAAGGGAATTTTAAAAGCACAGTCCCATTACAGACGCTAGCTTTATCCCAGTTTCCAGTGAAGACCCCGAGCACCGGTCCTCCTCTTCTCCCTCCGCGGGATGCCACGAGAGGCGGCCCTCCACCTGGACAACCTGCAGCACCCGCTCCGGCTCACAGGCGCTGAGATAATCACATTCACGAGAGCCAGAAAATCGAGTGGGATTTAGGAACTCGAGCGCCGCTCGGTAAGGAAGCGGGGGACGTCTCCAGGTCAAAGCGGGCTGCCCGCAGGGATAACCTGCTCTTTCCGCGGGGCTCTGGGTTAACTGCGTGCAGTCCCAGCGTTCAAAGAGAAGGCGATCAATTTTTATTCGAATGGTCTGTGCTCTCCTCCCAGCCCTGCGGATGATGGCTTTCAAGTCACGCTCCGACACACGCCTGGACTTCCGGAACATCTCAGGGGAGAGGGCCCACCTGGGCACGCGTGCTCACTGCTCCCCCTTTGGCCTGAGCGCCCCTGAGTCTGTTTGACAAATTGGCTTCCCATAAGATCCCATTTTAAGGAAGAGCTCCATTTAAAAAATCACTTAAACCGCTTAGAGAAAGCTCAGCCCTCTGTGGTCAAGGTAGTTTTGAAAAACAGAAAACTTCACAGCTGAAGCTCTTAAAATGAGATTCAGGAGCCCTCAGAGGTCAGGCCGCGGTGTTGTCAAGTATCAGGCTGAGGGAAGAATGTTCCGGAAGCTTTTATAAACATCAGGTCTCCTCCGGGACCCAGGCAGACACGTGACATGAAGCCAAGGCCTTTTCAAGAACAATAGCACCTTTGAACGAGAAGCCAGATCTTACCTGTCTCCTGCTCGAACACAGGGAAACATTTGCACCAGGACAGAAAGTCTCCGCTCCCTGGGCAGCTGGAAAAGGCTGTTGGCCCTAATTTTCCTTTTCTGGCGATTAAGACCTTCCTCGTTCATCACAAGTCTTGCTCAGCCAGACAGGGTCCTCCTCGCCCACTGCATTTCACCCCAGCTAAAGGCAAGTTGTGAGCCCGAAACCACACCCAGAGAGAGAGAAGGAAGCAGTTGAGGAGTTAATCCGTCCACAAGTCCTTGCTTCACAAGAATGATCTTCTGGCCTGCACTGGTATTTTCACCGGTATTTTAAAATAAGCAAAGAGGGTAGCCAGTGTGGCTTTGTTCGGACGTGACTTTATGCAGATCCTCGGGCCCTCTGCCTCAGTCACTGCCAGATAAACCTTCCTTTTGTGCTGAGAAGCTGGACACGAACATGATCGTGATACTAAAAACACAATAAGCTTCAAAAATACATTTAATTTCATGTGTCACTTTCAATTTATGTTGCCTTTGTTTAGATGCTTTTTTTCTTTTCAAAAATCTTTTTTTTAGATGGCCAGCTGGGTGCAAAAGCTACTCCAAAAAAAACCAAAAACAAAACAAAACATCTTTCACCCAAACAAGCAGTATTCCACACAGTGGGACCCACAAGAGTTTGGGAATGTGCCTTTTATTTGCAGCCTTTCCTCGATAATCTACAGCCCTTGGAAGGAGTGCGTGACTTCGCACAATTATTTGTAAGTGTTATTTTTCTCTTGGGGAGCTCCTGATGTACAACTCACAATTAATGAGGAAGTAGAAACCAATAAACCTTTCTAATTTAAAGCCACCTGAAGTCACACCAGCAATCATGCCTACGCCCAACGCGGACCTCCGCACAGGCTGGGGCCCATGGTTCTGGGGCCAGGCAACGCCAGGAGGAGAGACAGTGATGAAGTCCGAGGAAGGAGATTGTGAAGATGGGGTCAGAAGAGAGAGTCAGAGAAATTCAGAGCATGGATGTAGAGACAGCAGACAGGGAAAGAGACACAGTGTCTGTGCATCATCTCAAAGTCCTTGTGAGGTCAGCCATGGGGCTGTGTCTGATCCCCTGTCCCGTGGCTCTCCAGGCTCCACCACTGACTTAGCGCCTTCCTCCAACCAGCCAGTTCACCCCCTCAGCAGGTGTTTATGGGCTTGGCATGGGTGCTGGCAAGCTCTGTGCAGCTCACAGTCTGGATGAAGGGACGGATACTCGTCAAATACAAATAAACACAACATGGCTATGATAAGTGCAGCAAAGAAGGTGGACTCTGGGTACCTGCGGGGGGCTGGTCTTGAGATTGGGATGGCTTTTCTAGGACATATGGGTGGATCTGTAGGATGAGTCAGGGGCACCTAGGGAGAAGGGAGTGGGTGGCACAGCTCAAGCAGAGGGATGAGCTCATACAAGGATCCCCCACAGGAGGCACACGGAGCAGGGGTACCGCAGAAGGAGGGAGGGGAGGGGGTGGCGCTCAGGGGCCAGTGCCCTCAGGGCCTCTCAGACCACAGCAAGAACTGCCTTTATTCTAAGAGCAACTGAAAGGCATGGAAAGGTTTTAAGTAGGGGCCGGCATGGCCCAAACAGCCCCTTCTGTCTCTAGGTGGAAACCAGACACGGAAGCATGGACTAGAGCAGTAGCCCAAGCCAACATGGAGAGAAGAGGGTGGATCAGATGGGCAGGAGGTAAATCACAGGGACGAGGTCATGGATTGGACGTGGGAATGTGAGAGGCAGAAAGACTCCTAAGGTTTCCAGCTTGGCCAACCAGATGGATGGTGGTGACACTTGTGAGACGGAACAGCAATCCTGAGTTCAGAGGGACAGAAATATGGAAGAAGGGCACATACGCTTCAAGGGAGGAAATGAACTGAAGCTCATTCCACCACTCTCAGCAAGAGGCACAGTGGCCCTCAGGGACCGTCCACGTCATCCCAGCATCCGACTTCCCCAGACCCTCAGTACACGTGAGGCAGTAACTGAGCTTCCGCGCCTGTTAAATCTGGCTGGATGCAGCTCCCTGAAACAGAGCTACATGACTGGGAAATCTTCAGCTGAGCTCTCTGCTTAGTACATTATTTCATCAGTTATTTTTAAAATTGGATTATGTACCAGGTGATGGGCGAAGATGCAGCGAGAGGCAGACTCTTGTACAGCGGGAGGAAGTTGCTCACCGCACTATTTATGGGTGATTGCAGCAAAACTGAGGGTTGAGACCGAGGCAGGCACGAAGCAGAATTCAGGAGGGGACATAGCATGATGATTATTCATCAGCGAACAAACACAGACCATCACGTGCCCCTGTGACAGAGGCAACTTGGTCTGTTTTCTTTCCAAGAATGTCCTACACAAGTTGGCACAAAAGACCCAAATGTGTCTCCTGATGTCTTGCTCTGAAGGCAGGAATAAATGTTCTTTCTTCTCCGGGGATCAGAGGCCGTGCCGCTTCGTCCCACCTCCCTCTTGCAGAAGAGGGTGGATGGAGGCTGGGTGGGGAAAGCACCGACAGACTCCACAGACACCGCTCGCGGGGAGGGCTGTCCCTCTCAACAAAGGGGGCTGAGTCACAGGGCAGGTGCCCGTCATGCGAAGCGCTTGAAAGAATCTCGGAGAAAGCCAAAGACAGACGCTTTCCCTGTCAGGGGCTCGGCGGCTGCCACGTGACCCCACTCCCAGCCTGCTCGGCGGGCTTGCCTGGGGGAGTCAGGTGGGCTCCCTGGAGTAAGGGGGCTCCACGGAGCTCCTCCACACAAATGCTGCTGCTCAGTCTGGTGAACCCTCTGCGGCCGAGTCTCTGAACTTGGAAGCGTGGAGTCAAGAGGGACAAGGTCCCTGCCCTCTGAGCCCACAGCCTTAAAGGGGGAAAAAAATAGGCAAATCTACAAGGGAAACAAGACAGCACTGGAAGGACCATGACTGTAGGACAAACAAAATGCCCTTGGGAGATCGGGGTGGGGCAGGTTGAGTCGGGGAACACATTTGAAGAAGGAAGGATTTTCTCAACGGAAATACATAGAAGTCAGTTTCAGGAGAGCCTCTCCAAAGATACGCAGGTGTGAGTACAGGCGCTGCAAGGCTACACAATTGGAGAAAAATCTAGAAGGATGAACTGGACTCAGAGGGAGAAGCGCATCAGATGCTGTGCCAGGGGGTTTATACTTGGCTCTCTGAGGACGGATGTGGCTTTTGACCAGAGAAAGTGCTTTGATTAAAGGTACTCTTCACCACTGCTCAGTAGAGGAACCTTCCTCATGGGCAGGGAGGGGTCTATAATAAGGCAGAGAAGTGCAGAGTGAGCAAGCAGCTCTGTTAAAAAAAAATCCACATGGCTCTCCTCCCACAATTAGAGCCTTAATTAGAAAAAAAAACATGTTTTTCCGGGAAATCAAGCAGATAAATTCGGCATCCCTTCTGTACCTTGCTCACGGAGAGGTTGCAATTACAAACGACTTCTGGACAAGAAAAGAAACACGGCTCACATCAGATCCAGGGGGTCTAAGGTATAGGACAAACAACTCTTCTTCAAAGTGAGGTCAAGAGTGTGTGTTTTATTGGCACAACTGACTGTTCGACTCTATGAATTAAAATTGAAACTATGATTATGAAGGAAGCAAATCATTGTGCTTTTATAAGAGCTGGAATAAAGCAACAGTTATCCTCAGGTTTTAAGCAGAAATATAATTACTTTGTCCTACTCATCAATCAAAGACCCACCCTTTAAAATCTGCCAGTTGTAAAGGTCAGGCTTAATTGATCAGAAGGGAAAAAATTTCATGCTGTCCTACCTTCCTTTGTAAGCCAAGTGAATTAGTAATTAAAAATCCCCCATGACCATCATCAATTCCCTTTACGTATATTTCCTATAATTGATTTCCCCAGAAATGGCTTAAGTGGCCCCTGATTCTCCCACATCGCTAAATCCTTAGATCAAGCAGTCTCGTCTGCAGGCAGGTAGCCTGGTGACAGGGAAACGGTGAATGGGATCTTTTTATAACATGCAGAATGGAAATTGGAAAAGGACTTCCTACCTTCCACTGATTTTGAAAACAGATGTGAGTTTGGGTGGAAACGGTCATCCTTCCTACATTTTTTTCTCCCTTAGTGTTCAGATCCTATTAATCATAGTAAACTGAAATTTTACCCAGGCCAACGGATTTCAGAGCCCTTGCCAAGAGGACAACTTCACCCTGCCCCTCCCAGCCCTGGAATTTCCAATGACCAAGACAGTGAATTGTGCAAAGGAAGGAAACAAAAATGAAAATCCGAAGACGACGTCCACTTCAGCTCTCCTGCGTGAGCGCTCTGAACCCCGTTTGGACCCCAGACACACTGACCTAGCTTCCATAACACAGGTCACTACCTACATCGCTGGGTTTTAGAGCTGTCCCGAGGCAATGGGGGAATCCTAAACCACTGTTGTCTAAGACCTGAGGAAGTAGAGAGACTTTTCCAAAAATAAAAGACAAACCGAGAGTGAAATCCACACTGACACTGGATACCTCAATTTGAAAAACAAAACCAGACACAGGTTTGTGGTTCCCAGGACAGTTCCTCTTCCCACCTTATGCTGGGGGTACCTGAGGCTTTGAAGCCCCACCTTGTCCCACCTCACACACTCTCTCCTGCACTGATGTCAGCTCTTCTCCTGGTTTCTCCTGACCCACCGGTAAAGATGCTCACATCGAGATCCACCACTCTGACCTGTCTCATGATCTCAGCACCAAACTTCCAGCTGCTTCCTGCACATCTAGGCCAGGTGGCCTCTCACATGCAGAGCATCCAAACTCCACAGTTCAAGATCCTTCCACCAACACCAGCCCTTGATACCTGAATTTCGTACCTTGTTGATGGTAGCACCCCACACCCAGAAACATCTTTAACTCCTCCCTTATCCCAACTGCCCATAAATAATTAGGCCATTTCCCAGTGCTCCACTGTTTCCAGCATCCCCTGCCCCTGCCCTGGCCTAAAACCCATATCATCTCCTTCCCAGAATTACACAGTGGAGATGTCTTCCTGGAACACAGATCAGATCACTCATTCTAGCAACTTGAAAATATTTAATGGCTCCTCTTTGCCTACTCAATAGAGATTAAAAATAAAGAAGGTTGTTTATTTTGGCCCAACAAAATCTAAAAACTTTCTAACAATTCCAGCTGTGTGAGCAAGTCATGAGCCACCTTCAGATAGAGTGAGTCCCCTGTCCTTGGGTCTTATGATGTGGTCAGCCTTCTCTGCAAAGGCTTCCTACTCCTGCGTGGGAATGATGGGGAGGGGTTTCAGACATCAGGCATCAGGCAGAAGTTGGACAAACGTGAGATCCATGGGGCCTATTTATGCCTTTGGGACATCAGCCCGGCCCATGGGCTCCTTCTGGGAAAACTGCCCTGCCAGCCAGGCACCCATAAGGCTGGATGTCAAGAAGCCATGTTCCATGGCATGATATATTTAAAGTGATGAAAGGGAAAAACTTACAGCCAAGAATACTCCATCCAGCAAGGCTCTCATTCAGATTTGATGGAGAAATCAAAAGCTTCACAGATAAACAAAAGCTAAAAGATTTCAGCACCACCAAACCAGCTTCACAACAAATGTTAAAGGAACTTCTCTAGTCATCAAACCGTAAGAAACGAGAACAAAAAGAAGAGAAAAGAAAGACGTACAAAAACAAACCCAAAACAATTAACAAAATAGCAATAAGAACATATGTATTGATAATTACCTTAAATGTAGATTATATGCTCCAACCAAAAGACACAGACCGGGTGACTGGATACAGAAATAAGACTCATATATATGCTAGAGACCTACTTCAGTGCTAGAGATACATGCAGGCTGAAAACAAGAGGATGGAAAAAGGTATTCCATGCAAACAGAACCCAAAAGAAAACTGGGGCAGCAACACTTACATCAGATAGAAGCCATGTTCCTAACTTCTAAGCCTGCCTCCTGACCTGAAATGCGTGCATCAGGATGGAGCCTGAGAAGGTTAATTGAGAGACATGAGCTACACGAGCCAGGCACCGGCTCCTGTTAGGGTAGCTCTAAGCCAAGGGCCTCACTCTTGCTACCAGAGCCCAGGGAGACTCCTTGGCTCCTGCGCTTTCTACAACCTGATGGCTTGCTCTTCTACGAAGTTCGCTGGTTTCCTTACAATGGTTTTTCTTTCCTCTGCAACAGTGTGCTTCTGGTTCTTGCAACTCCGAGCCTGACCAAACCCTCTGCTCTCTGGGTTTCCCAAAGCCATTGGGAGGGCTGAGAAAGATCCCGTCCGTGTGCTGGAGCTTTCTCCTGAGTGCTGGGATGGGAGTCTTATCCCCGAAACAAACTCCCTGTTCTTCCTTCAGGGAGCAAGTTTGACCACAGAGAGCTCAGGGGCACAGGTGACAGATGAGGCCACTCTTCATAGAAGAGGTTTGGCAGGTGTCCCTCCCTGACCAGACTTCAGTCAGGCTCCTCAGAGCCCTCTTCCTGATTGGCTTCGTCTAGGTTTGCTGTCTTGGCCCGCCAGGCCCAAGAATCCCAGTGAATCCGGTTTTAGAGAGAATCCTGCTAAGCTGGTTTCACAAGAATTTCCCCGACCTGTAATATCTAATCAAGCCCCTCCCCACCACACCTCTGATATCTAATCAGGTTCTTCTCAGTGATTTTCCATCTGCGGGGTCCCTCACTCCATCCACCCGCTGTAGGTCCCCGGCCGCCCTGTTGCAGTCAGGGCTGAGCTCGGTTCTGTACTGAAGTCTCTCCCCTGCTGCAGTAGCTCAAATAAAATCTGTCTTGCCATTTTTAACCAGCGTCCAGTGCAATTTCTCTTTAACAGATGGGAACGGCCTCGTGGGGAGATGTCAGAAAGCCAGCCCCCAGCGGAAGCATGGTGGCCACACAGGTGCTGACTCCGACTAGGACTCTCCTTGACCAAACCTGAGTCAGTCTCCTCTGAGAACCCTTACTGACAACGCCTCACTCTTGGGTTCTGTCCTTGGTCTGCTTTGCCCAATTTTAGCAAGAATCCTGCTGGGTTAATTTCAAGAAAATCCCCCACCCTTGATATCTGCTCAGATTCTTCATTCCCTACATGTCAAGTCAATTTAGCCAAAATTTCCTCTGATGTTTCCTCTTAGAAATCTTCCATCCTTTGACCGCCTCCCTGCTCCCTGGCTATAAATTTCCACTTTTTCTTATTTGATGTTGAGCCTAATCTTGCTTCGCTACTGTAAGACCCACTGTCGTGGTCCCTGAATAAAACCTGCTGACCCTCTTTAACAAGCGTCATGGCTGATTCTTTCTTTAACAACTCCTTGCCTTCCGCCAGAGTTTAAAGACTGCCTTTAAAGTATTCTTCCATAAGGAGGACTTTCAAAGTACTAATTGATCTAAAAGGAAAGAAAGAAATCCAGGAGACGTGTCTCCCTTCTCACCCGGGTTGCTTGGGTGCATTCCCTGTGGCCTGGATGGCTAACCTCTGGCCTCATGGCTAGCTTGTACTTGTGTATAAGTCATCAAACTTCTACCTACCCCGTGAGCAGACATCCCTGTCGGATGTAGGTGCATTTCATGTTGACCTAGTCCTCGGGAAAAGAAGACAGACATGTCCGCATGAGGTCACCTGGGCTGGACTGTCCTCCCAGGTCCCTCTGAGTGCCCCGAGGAAACATGGCATTCTTCTTAATGACTCCCGGTGGGGTGCCGGTGACCAGCTGTGTGCCCTGAGCCTGCTGCCATCCACACCACCAGAAGCTTCTATCAGTGGGTTCACATTCTCATCACTGGCCATTTCTGGGCTAGGTTTTCAAAGGTTCCAAACTAAAAATCTGCTGCTACTGAAAAATAAGCTTATAAATAATGCTCTGGGGGCTCCAGAAAGGATCGACTAGGAAAGCTCCTTGCAAATTATGTTTTTGTCTCGGGTTGACTGTGTCAGCTATGGAAAGGATTTCGGACCCCTGAGAGCTCTGATGGAGGCAGGTGGTGAGGGGTAACAAGCAGCTACAAATGTCTACATGTATAATCACACACATGGACACACACATACACATTTTCACATGTATCAGTTCATCTGCCACAGTTTCGAATTCAAATTCAAGTGAGGATTAAAAAACAAAACTTGCGATGTGATAAACAAGTCTTTCAAAGTTATTTTTTGCTAAAGTCTGTGAATTGAAATATCCTATTAACCCAGCAGTCTCCTTACAGTCCCATCAGACAATGTGACTTAAATCCACAGGATTTCTCTCACAAAAAGGGAGGGGAAAAGCCTATTTTCATGCCATTGATGTTAACAAACTGAGCAAAGTTAGGAACTGGAACCATCTCACCTAGTGTTTTTATGGTTGAGTGACTATGAATTGAAGCTTCATAAAAAATGATTTATGAACGCACTGATACTGTGCGCATATTCGAACTGCACCTGCTCCAGTTCTGAGAAGATTCTATATTTGTCCCATTGCTCATTCTCAGCGGAGTGCCTGCTCCACTCTGGCCTCACCCCCCTCCCCACGCTCAGCGATCTGGGGTAATCTCTGCTTCTGAAGGCACTACCTGAGGCAACCAATATTTCTTCTGCTTTGTTTGTTTTTTTGGAGACTGCCGGCCTAAAAGCCTGTGTGTTTGGAAATTCAAATCAGCCTCAAATCTTGTCGGAGTCACAGAGCTCTCATTTCAGGTGAAGGGGAGACTAGTCTCCAAAGCACAGTTCATTATTAATAAAAATAAAGGCGAGGGTAAGTAAATAAAGACTAGAACAGAGCGCCACCCGGTCAGAGGCGAGTTCTTACCTGAGTCTGGAAGGCTCTCATTTCTTTCCCAGGCAGGGTGATCTTTGGGGGATGAGAAGAGCCGACTCTGGATCTGGAAGAGAAATGGAAACCTTCCCAGTTTGATATTTTTATTTTCCAGGTAGATAATGTATGTTATGATTTTTTTTAAAAAAATCAAGACATGTCCCTAGAATCTCTCCTTTCTCCCAAGAAAGAACTCCAGATGGTAATGAAAATACCCTTTTCCCTTTTCTCCTGGGTCAGCTCTGCCAGTGAAGAAAGGGTGGGTTTCTGATGATGGCAAAACGCACAGGGAGGAAGCAGGGAGGGAGAAAAACAGGTCGGCTAATGTGGGTTTGGCCACGGATTTTGCTGGTAGATCAAAGAACCACATTCCATATTTGTTGCCTGCCCCAGCAGAGTGCTGGTGGGGGTTGAGCTGAAACTGGACGTTCAATAAATATTGATAAATTGATTAACCATGAGCAATCAGATTTCAGGAATTAGCCATCAAGGCCCGGGAAATAAGATTAATGTATACAAAAGTGTTCTGCTGTCTACAAGGATGATCGTGACCCTGACCTTCTCTGCCAGAAGACAAAGGTCTTTAGAAAAGAAAGTGGCCCTTAGAATCCACTCTGCATCTCCTCAGAGATCGTGCACCAGCAAGGACCCCCATCTCCCTCAGTCTTTGACTTTGCCCTCCTTCAAGTCTCAAACTACATTTCCAAATCTTTCTTGAGTTAAAAGTGAAACCAGAAAACTCCCTCCAGGAACACCCTCTACCTTCCTCCTTTCACCTTCCCACTGGCCCCAAACCTCCTGGAAGCAGCCAGCCACACTCCCTGAGCCACGGCCTCATCTTCGGCTCAGGCCTGCCTGCCACGCGGTCCACTGAGCCACTCTGATCCATGACACTGAAATGCACCTCGCTCTCTCCAGCGCCCACCTCCCAGCCAGCTCCATGGGATGTGTGGTACCAACACCTCCTGGGGGCTGCATCTCCCAAATCCCCCTCCACTGCCTCCCCGCCTCCCTCTGCTCCCCTCTCTGAGGCTCATGGAGGGCCTCAGAGCTCTTTCCAAGGCCACACCATGCCAGCAGCCCCTTCCCTCCTCTGTGTCACCAGTCATGTTTCTCTAAAGCAAATCTGGTTATGTCCCTCCCCAGCTTAAAATGCTCGAATTTCTAACAAATTCAAAATATTGTTAAAGCCATATTCACGCAAGACATTTCTGCAGTGTGGCTCATTATGGCAAAACCCCAGAAGTACCCAAAACCGCCAATAGCAGGGACTGGCTTTGTAGATCAGAGCACGTGTGTTATTGTGTCTATTAACATTATGACAAGTGGGGACAGGGGGAGGGATAAATTGGGAATTCAGGATTTGCGGGTACTAACTACTATACATAAAATAGATAAACAACAAGGTCCTACTGCACAGCACAGGGAACTACATTCAATATCTTGTAATAGCCTATAATGAAAAAGAATATGAAAAGGAATATACATATATATAAGTATATGTGTACAACTGAATCACTACACTGCACACCAGAAATTAACACGCTGTAAACCGACTATAATTCAATTAAAATTAAAACACTACAAAAATGCTCCTAATTCCTGCCACAGTCTCCACACCTGCACATCTGCAAACATAAGGACATGTCATGGCGGCCTTGAATGCCACGCATATTTGGATACTA